TAATGAGTGACACTGAGGCTCCTGTGTCATATATTAATTCTGCTATTCCACGCTTTGCCTCTTTAATTGGCATTCTTACAATGTCCAAACTTGCTTGCGTTGTATTTACTTCAGTAATTTGAAGCTCTGGTATCGTTATAGCTTTCCTTTTCTTTGTTAGTTCCATCCTCGTCATTTTCGGATGAGTCGTTGCTGTCACTCTGATTCTGCTTATTAGTTTGTTTTTTATTCGATACATCTTTCGCTTTCTTCCCTTGATATTTCTTCTTATCATTCAGGGCCCAGCAATTTTCTTTAAAATGTCCTGTTTTCTTGCAATAATTGCAATACTTTTCAACGGCATTTATTCTGCCGTCTGCCTTTGGCAACGACACCTTGCTGACTCGGCAATCTCGACCAAAATGTCCGTGCTTCCCGCACTTAAAACATGTGTCTTTATTATATTTTCCCTTATTTTGCGGATTCTGAGTTTTTACTTGACCGCTATGTCACTTTTTCTTCTGAGCTGGCCGCATTTATGGCCTCCTGTAGAGTTCCATAGTTCCGTAAGCGATTTATTACTCTTCTTTCGCTCTTTAACCCGATTTGGAATTGTTGTAACGCCTGCTCTTTGATTGTTTTCATGATAATGCGTTTTTCTTCAACGGTGTGTCCTCTACCTTCCACTATGACCCCATACAATTCCATGGCGATCTGATTCACACGTTGGCAGTACGTTTGCGCACTTTCGCCATTCTTTTGCCTCAATGTGTTAAAATCTATCTGCAACTGAGTAACATTTTTCTTTGCAGCATAAGTGTTCTCAACTTCTTCCTTTAACTGTTGGAAATTGCAGATATTCTTTGTTCGAAAATCTAACAAAGCCTGACCTCGCAACTTTGTACATAATACTGCTTGTAACAAAGCAGGTTCATCCAACGGGCTAACAACTCCCGCTGCGTATTCACACGCGTTCAAAAAGTTGCGTATCTGTTCAGCTGATTTCCCGTCAAACGCCGGTATTAGATTCACCGCGTCTTTTAATTGTAGCTGACTCCTGTTTACTACGTGGTTTTGGATGTCATCATCCGTCCGTCCGTACGTGATATCGAGTTGCTCACTCGGCCGCACGTGTGTTTCTTCGTGTGGGTGGAGCACCTGTTTCGCGCATTCTTTCTTCGCGTAGCTCCCCCATTTGCCTACCTAACGCGTCTACACGTGCTCCCATTGCTCCTAATGTCCGCAAGACTTGACGTAGGACTTCCTCGGTGGCGTCATGACTCGGCCTATCCGACCCTGGGCCCCTCGCGGACCCCGCTCCACGAGCTCCGACTAGCTCGTGTTGCATTTGCGTTATTTTCCTGTCTACCGCGTCCTGGGCTCGCCTAACACTTTCTATGTCCAGAGCTTGTTCTGTGCTATCTACTACATGGGCTGAAAAGTCCCGGGATTTTTAATGAAAACAAGCGTTTTTTGGGCAAAGTTGTATTCATTCTTCAACATAGTTGCCTTCGAAGGCAATACACTTGGTATAGCGATTTTCTAACATGTGGATGCCTTTTCTGTAGTACGAAACGTCCAAGCCTTCGAAATACGCCTCGGTTTCCGCGATGACTTCCTCATTCGATGTGAATCTCTGGGCGGATCCCGATAGCGCACGGTGCGATAGCCCACGTCCCGATAGCACACGTTAAATTTAAAATATTTCCCGATAGCCCACGTCTCTTTAGCACACGTCCCGATAACCCACGAAGTAAAACGCGCATCTGCCCGATAGCGCACGTCCCGATAACACACGTCAAATTTAAAATAATTCCCGATAACACACGTCCCTTTAGCACACGGCCCGATAGCCCACGATGTAAAACGCGCATCTGCCCGATAGCGCACGTCCCGATAGCACACGTCTCTTTAGCACACGTCTCGATAGCGCACGTCTCTTTAGCACACGTCTCGATAGCGCACGTCTCTTTAGCACACGTCTCGATAACGCACGTCCCTTTAGCACACGTCTCGATAGCCCACGTCTCTTTAGCACACGTCTCGATAGCCCACGTCTTTTAAGCACAAGTCTCGATAACCCACGTCTCTTTAGCACACGTCTCGATAACCCACTAAATAAAATGCACACTTGCCCGATAACGCACGTAATAAAATGCGCACGGACTCGATAACGCACGTCTCGATAGCGCACGTCTCGATACCGCACGTCTCGATACCGCACGTCTCGATACCGCACGTCTCGATAGCGCACGTCTCGATACCGCACGTTTCCATAGCGCACGTCTCGATAATGCGCACCTGCCCGATGACACACGTCCCGATAACGCACGTCCCAAAACAGATTTAATTATGCGCATTCGGCTTAATTATCATTATTTTATGACTATATTCATGTACACTTCCAGCATAACAGTAGGAATATGTAATGCCTTGCATTCATATGTGTATAATGTATGATATCTCACTTTCAACATTCACAAAACACGTGCATCATTAAAGTAACTAATTCCAAAACATGAAGCAAACGTTCCAGTAACTCACATTTATTTTATATGGTTTTAATATTATTTTCTCTAATTGAACTAAGAGACTTAATCTCATAACCTAACCTAACATCTTTCAAACTGCTTGAAAATAAGTGTGAAATATACAGTAACATTAGATGAATGCAATATAAATATGCTGTGATTAACAGACAGCTTATTTATATTGCTTTCGTCTAATATTTCACGTTCAATCATTCTCATGCATTTTGACAAATGTAAGGTTATGTCCCATGATTTATTTAATGAAATAAATGTTAAAACTATATAAAATCAATGTGAGAGTCACCTGAACGTTTGTTTCATGTTTAGTAATTGTTTACTTTAATGATTCACATGTATTGTAAATGCTTAAATGAGATATCATAAATACTCAGCTTTAAGAATTAACGCTATCACAAACATTAGAATCATCTCTTTACCAACATTTAGTCATTATATGCTTGTGTTAAACGTTAACTCTTTGAAAATACACATTATATTGATAATAATGCTACTAAAATATTGATTTAGAAATAGATTTGCTAAAACGGCACACATTTTCCTGAGGAAGTATATGCATTCGAGGAAGGAAGGAAGGTAAAAACTGGTTTAATTACGCGCATTCGGCGTAATCAGCTTTATTTCGTAACCATATTCATATACACTTCAATCTAAACAATTGGAAATTTAAAGAGTAGAATTCATATGTGTGTAATGTACGATATCTCACTTTCAGCATTTACAAAGCACGTTGATTAATTATTAAAGTAATTACTAAACGTTCCAGTAACTCTTTCATTTCTTTTATATGGTTTTATATTATTTTTATTAATTAAACCAAGGGACATAACCTCATAATCTTACATCTGTCAAACAACAAGAGAATGAGCATTGCGTAAAACATGAAAACAATATAAATAAGCTGTCTGTTAATCACAGCATGTTTATATTGCATTCATCTAATGTTAATGTATATATCCCTTATTCGCTCGCTTATTCTCATGCAGTTTGACAGATGTAAGGTTATGAGGTTATGTCCCTTGGTTTAATTAAATAAAATAATATTAAAACCATATAAAAGAAATGTGAAAGTTACTGNAACGTTTAGTAATTACTTACTTTAATAATCAACGTGCTTTGTAAATGTTGAAAGTGAGATATCGTACATTACACACATATGGATTCTACTCTTTAAATTTTCAACTGTTTAGATTGATGTGTATATGAATATGGTTACGAAATAAAGCTGATTACGCCGAATGCGTGTAATTAAACCTGTTGTTACTTTCCTTTCTTCCTCGAATGCGTGTGTCACTTTTACTAGTGAAAATATGCATCGCTTATCTTAATCTGCCAATAAGTCACAAGTTTTTGTAAAATTTGCACGGATATTTAAAAAGATAGATAAAATACTATATAATAAAAAAGTAATATTGGAGTTGATTGTTAATTAATACTAATAATAACAATTTTTAATAATTAATAACTGCTGAACTATTATAAACAAATGCAAAATAATAAAAAAATGTTCTATTTTATTTTATCTGCTATAGGAACAGGGTAAGGTTGCTATTGGATATTTTGTTTATATTATATATTATACATTATATTATCATAACTCTGTTCTTTCTCTTGACTAAAATTCAATTTTTTAAGCTCTTTAAAAAAACACAAAAATATAATAACTATTTCCTTCTTTTGAACAAGAAGCATTAAAAAAAAATGATTAGTCAGTTATTGATTTCAGTAACAACTTTAATTATTCTAATTATTTAATTTAAAAAGTTGTTACAATGTTTGTAAGTACAAGTTTATTTTAAAAATTTTTTTAAATGTTTTAATAATAATAGTCAGTATGTATTTCATAATCAATATGTATTAATGTTGTTAAAATTTCATAATTTGTTAACTGAATAGATAAAACAGTGATTGGACTTCGAAGATACCAGTTTGTATAGATAAAGTGCTGTTTTTGTATTTTAAGAAAAAGTATTGATATTATATTGTTTTAAAATTGAATTTATTGTTTTAAACCTTATTTATAATATGAGTAAAGAAACTTAGAATAATAACATATTCCGACACATGTAATTGTTTCTTATACTTATACAATTAACTCTCTTCGATATATTTTGTAAATATGACAACTTTATAAACACTTTTTGGGATACAAATATAAGGTATGTTTATGACTATATCAGTATGTTATAACATATATTAGATATATATATATATATATATAAACTTTTGACAAATAAACATTATCACTTAATGTGTCATTACAACTAATTTGAACTCTATTAGAAATTAATTTTTTACAAACTCTTTGAAAAAAAACTGCTTATACAATTAACATTATTTGATACGTTTTGTACTTTATGAGTATTGACTACTTTTTAGATTAAAATATGAGATATATAAAACTATATAAGTAATTTCTAATATAGTTAACTTATAAAATATTAGATTTATAAGTCCTTTTTTAAATAAAAATTATGACATTAGTCTTTACAAATAACTATAGTTATTTTAGATAATTTGCTATCAGATAATTTGGTTTTTCTCTTATCACTTAGATAAATATCAAATAATTTGAGATTTGTTTTGTGTAAACGCTTAGGAAAAAACATTTATTAAATTCTTAAACGTTTAAAGATATTTAAGTAATGTTAATAACTATTCTAAATATTTTTATAATTAAAGAAATTCTTAGTAAACATAAGTTATAAAATTTTTGTGTGAAAGCTTTTATAAAATTATTACTATTAATACTGAATATTACATTTGGATTGCTTTTTTTATGGAACTCTTACTTTTAAATATGACGTATAATTTACATTGCAAATAGGACATTTTTTAGATTGCAACTGTAAGATACATTCCCCACAACAACATAAATGGCCACACGAGACGAAGATATGATCAGCTTTTTCAACTAAGCAAATAGTACAGCAATCAGGTGTACGTGTGTCATTGGATTGTTGCACTGGATGATACGGAACATCTATATTTTCATTATCTTCATCCGAAAATATATTACCGTAATCGTCTAAAGGGATGTGATAAATGTCTTCATCATCACCTGTAACAGAAAATATATAATTTTATAGTAAAATTATCATATACATATTTCCCTTAAAGTGAATAATCACCAAAATTAATTTATTAAAATTAAGTTAAACGTTATTATTTTTTTTTAATTTTTAACTAGTTTTCAACTAGTTACTACTCAACCCTGATAATGCTGTATATATATTTAAATTAGGAAAAACAGTAGACATCACATATTCATCGTTTCAAAATTTATTTATAGAAGTAAGACAAAAAAGTTTAACTAATAATAACTTTTATTTAGTTACTACATAACATTATTTTTTAAATTGCCACATAAGTTACATTCTTTAACATTTTTTATATCTCATAAGGATTAACATGTTTGTAATTTTTTGGTATTAAAATTTAAGGTACATTGAATAAGTATTTAAAATTAAATTCAATATAATATTGTGTATATACTAGGCTGTATAAGTACTTCTTTTTAGAAATGAGTATTATATCACTACTAATCATGACTCGACTAAAGTTTATTCTTTTTATAAACTTTTAAAAAAGAAATAAAAAAATAAATTCAATTTATTTCAAATGTTAAACGTTAAAAAAATAGATAATAAACTCGATTAATACCTTCAATTTTTTAAATAAATTTTTAAAATCAGAGAAATTCTATCTAAATAAGTTTCTACATTTTTTCTTCATATTATATTCATGTTTTGTATGGAATTATAACCTTTAAAAATAAGATATTATAATTTTTGTTGTACATAGAACCTTTTTTTTGATTGCAACTTCAAAAGCAATCCATATAGCAATATAACCAATTTAAAAGATAAATGATCTGCTTTTTCTATTAAGTAAACAGAAACCACAGCAATTGTGTATGTGTCAGATTACTACATTAGAATATATATATATATATATATATATAAACTTTTGACAAA